ACTGCTTGTTGAAGGCTTTGATATAAGGGTGATATTCTAGCAGTGTGGAAGACACATTCTAACCAGACTAAGGCTATCTCTTTGTAATCACAAGGAATGAAAGAGAATTGAAAGGGGAATAATTTTCTCACAATGTTATTTAGTGCTATTTCTGAGTGCCATGAAAAATTCTCTCTTCCTATGCACAGAGTATTATAACTCCATCTAGCCTTCCAAATGAGCTCAGAAAATAGTCACCAAAGCAGAAGTGTTTTTAACATTGATCTTCGAGAAAATAGATTCTATCTGCTCTCTTTTGATCTGGCCAAATTAATAAAATTGGTTGTGTTTCCAGGTTAAAGAGAAAATGATGGATGATAGAAGCTACTGTAATCCACCAGACAAACTTCCTGTCTTCTCCAATTCTGCCCACTTGCCACTGACCAGGTCCTTCTATCTGGACCCCATGGTCACTTTCCACCTGTGCCCTGAGGCCCCAGTGCCATCCCCTTACTCTGAAGAGCTGCCATTGCTGCCTTTTAGCAGTGACTCCCTGATCATGGAAAATTATGGTGAACCCTGCCCCTTCTCTTTCCCAATGCCTTATCCAAATTATAGAAGGTGCGAATACTCCTATGGGCCAGCCTTTATCCGGAAAAGGAATGAGCGGGAAAGGCAGCGGGTAAAGTGTGTCAATGAAGGCTATGCTCAGCTCCGACATCATCTGCCAGAGGAGTATTTGGAGAAACGACTAAGCAAAGTGGAAACCCTCAGAGCTGCAATCAAGTACATTAATTATCTGCAGTCTCTTCTGTACCCTGATAAAGCTGAAACCAAGAATAACCCTGGGAAAGTTTCCTCCATAATCTCAGCCACCAGCCGCCACACTGACCCTATTTTTAGAATCATTTGAGTCTGTATTTCCAAACAAGAAAATAATTGCATGTAATGGGGTCTCTTAGGCATCATTTAACTGTTTTTCCTAAATCTAATTTCTGTGTGGTCAGATAAAATCTCAAATGCTAACCTGTGCTGGACATTACTTACCTGGGTTTCAGGTGTACTAAATATTATCTTACGTAGATTAAGAAGATGCTCTTCTCATTTCATTCAAGAACTCTAGAAGAGCAGGAATCCCTAGGGTTCTCTGTACCTCTCACCCTGTGCTTATCACACAGGTGGCCAGTCTCAGCTGTGAGAAGCTCTGATAAAAGCATGTGAAGTATGACTCATGACTACTCAATGCTTATAAGTGCACTTTGCAGATGCTTCCTGCTTAAGCAATCACAATGAACCTGCCTTGATTTGTCCAACTTTGGTGGTTTTTATTTACTCAGAGTTGACAAAAAGCCATGATGGGAAAGTGTCTCTGGGCTAAAGCAAAAGTAGTTTCCAAAATCTTGTTGTCCTTTGAAATTATTTCAGACTCATCTTTTTCCTGCATACAGACTTCCTCAGGCAGCTTACAAGGGCTCTGGAATCGAACTGCCTCAGTTTGAAGTATCACTCTGCTATTTCCTCTCTGTCTTGGTTCTTCATCCACAAAATGAGAGCAATTCGACGGTACTTCAAAAAGTTCATAGAAAAATAGAATTAAAAGATAATACAAATCTTTCCATGAACTTTTTAAAGTACCCTTGCAATAACAGCAACTCCCCGTGTGTTTACTCTGAGGATCGACAGTGCCTGACACATTATAAGTACTCATAACCATTACTATTATCATTATCATTATCCTTATCTTGTTTTGTCCATAGCGTCACCATTCTCTAGGTTCTTTGGGCCAGACAACTTGCAGCTGCCAGGCCTTTCCTTCATCCTTAGGAAGGACAGTCTCTGCCCCATATCTTGGAGTCTGCCTCCAACATGTGTGTATTTCTACTTCCATGGCTAGTTTCAGCTCTCCTTCCCCCTTAATTCCCAGGTCCTATCTGCCACCAAGCCCAGCCAGGACTTCCCCTATACTGTCTGTCACACTCATCTCCACTGTCATGTCTCTGTGAAGTCTTCCCCAATTTCCCATCCCAGCTATTACTT